AGGGTGCATGCACTCTCCAGAAAGACAGAGACAGAGAGACAGAAAGCGAAAAATCACCCCCCAGGGGGGATGGCCACGCTGCAATCCCTTCTCCTCCATTCTCCTCTCAGGATCTTGGGTATGCACGCACATGTGCCCGGTGTGAATTTAAGCTACCAGGTCCAGGACTCAAACCTCAGTCAACTACATGGGAGTCCAGCGACATAATCATTATGCTAACTGCTGGTCCCCCAATGTGATTTCTAACCACTCCCTTATGCTCACTCTGACTGGAGGCAGGATAGCATGTTCTGATGCCATTTTCAGCTCAGCAGAGAGCTTGGTTTCTCCCAGGGTAGTGCCTCCCATGGATGAAAGACAAAGGAGACAAGAAGGACAACTAGGAAGTAGGAGTAGCCCATCCACTGCTCCCTGCTGGAGGGCCCATCCACCAAGGAGCCTCCCGTGTGGCCCAATGAAGGCAGGTCAGCAAATAAATACCATCTACACTTGAGCCAAGTCTCTATCGACCTCCTCTGTACACTTCCTGCGTTGCAGGTGCTGTTACGGGTGCTGGGGACAGGTGAGCTGAGGAGACAAGATTTCCTCTAACATGGAGCTTGCTCTTAAGGACCGGGCAGATAATACCCAAGGAAACAAGTAAATGAACATTCAGAGAGAGAGAGAGAGAGAGTACAATGCAGATAATTAAGAGGGGCCTCATCACCCAGGGCCCAGCCAGCACTTTATTCAAAGAGCAACTAGAAACTACTAGCTGCTTTTAGCAGGAGAATGAGATGATCCAGCAAATGTTTGAAAACTATAAATCCCTAGGTCAGATCCATGGTGCCGTGGTAATGCACTTTTCAGGAGAGGCCAGATCCTTCCTGTTGACTAAGGTTCAAATCCCCAACAGGTCAACAGAAACACACTGGGCACATGTGAAGAGTCTAGGATCTGATGAGCTGGACAACTAAAGAAAGGGATCGTGGGGTGACCAAATGCAGTGGAGGGTGTTCATCCCCCCCCTCATATGTGTGCACATACGCTCTATCATGAATAAAGAAAAAGAATTGTAACTCTAAACCATCTAATTTAACCACTCAATGACCCTTGTGAATGCTGGACTCTCATTTTTTTGATAAGGCAGCTGAAGCTCAGAGATATGAGATAATCATACAAAGGCCCCCAAATCTGGAACTGTCAAGGCCAAGGTTTGAACTCAGTATGCCTGACTATGACAACCTCACCAACACATCCTGCCTGTCCACACTGCTGGTGGAATTCCCACACGGAAGGGCACAAACATCTCCTCACCACCCCTCTCCACCCCCATCAAATTTAGGAGTAACAGGGCCTTTCAATTTTTGACTGAACCATGGGTATACCAGAATACTTCTTTCTTAAAGAATAACTACACTTACAGAGACAGCACTTTCAAGGCATCAGATGACCACTCCCCTGGTTAATGCACAAAACATCTATTGGATCTAGTGCTGCTGGAGGCTGACTTTGTTATTTGCTCAGAGAACTGAAGCCCGACCTAGGGTTTCAGGGCACTCTGGGGTTATTTATGGTAACTCATGTTCAGACTTTAAGAGTTCATATGTTCTTTCCCTTATAAACCACAGAGATTTTTCTGCAGTTTCCAATTATATACATCCAAATGTTTCTTAACAGCTGTTTCTTTTTCTTTTTTTTTTTCTTAAAAAAAAGTATTTATAAACCAATCTTTGGATTTTATTCAATTTAGTTGTGGAAATGTTCTACCTGGGTTCCTTTAAACTAAAAACCGATGAAGGCTGAGCAGTTTGGCAGTGTATTTGATGCAGTCAAGGCTGTGGTATTGAAGTGGGTGGAGCAGAAGTCTGGAGTCAGGGCTTGGCTCAGATGTCTTCGATCCCATGAATGAGCTCCCTAGAAAGAGGCTTCATGTGTTCTTGTCCAGTTGCCATCATAGTGGCATCCCTATCATATTTACAGTGACTGCAGGGAGAATGAGGTGTCTGTTCTGCCACTTAGAAGACATTAGCCTTGAGTACAGCCTTGATGACCCCTTCACTGGTGGGATAAAAAGACCACCTCCCTTCCTGGATAGAGATGGTGCACATGTGACAAGGATATGGAAACCACAAACAGTTCCAGAGCAGCTGTGGAAAGAAAACTAAGGTACAGCACAACTGGAGAGCCACATGACAGTGTACATCAAATGCTAGGTTGAGCAGGGCTAGATCAGCAGGGGCTGGAGTGGAAGGAAAAGGCACCAGAGAAGGGATGGCAGAATAACACCTCCCCACAAAGACATGTGTGCATGAGTGCCCAAAATCCTGAGAGAAGATTGGAGGAAAGGGGATTGAGGCATGACCATTCTCCCTGGGGGTGCTTTTTCACTCTCCTCCCTGCTCTCTCCGTATCTGTCTCTGGGAAGCACACACATGTTATAGCAAACAAACAGCCAACAAGAAGAGTAGCCACACTGCTAAATTGTTCCAGCAGCAATAGGAAATTGAGACCACGAATCAGATAGGATTAATACTGCTGTCCACAGTAATGGGAAAGAAGTGCCAGCGAAGGGAATCTGCCTGAGAAAGGCCTGACGAGTGCATAGACGACAGAAGGAGCTCATTTTTCCAGAGTATGACATTAAGTTGGGGACTGATGGTGGTCTTTGAGTCTCAGAAACAGAGGACAGACATGAAGTGCCCAGCCCCAGGAGCCACTAAGGGTCTATCTTGGGGGACATGATGGAGGGAACTACAGAAGAGCCTGGAAGAGGTGTGCTTGATGGAAATGAGAAGCAATTGACAGGGAGTCTAGAGAAGACATAGGCTACTTCTTGAACTACATCCCTGTATCACATGCACACCTGTCCTGCCACAGGTGTTTTGTAGTCTCCTCTGGCCCTTTCCAGACAGAAGGTATGTAAGGAGGATGGGCTCCAGAGGCAAAGGGTGGGGCAATCTGGGTGCAGGTACGAGAAGCATCACTTTTACTAACTACAGTCTTTGGAGGAAACATGGCGCTCTGCACCTCAGTGCTCTCTCTGTAAAATGAGGATCATCCAGCAATGCCCTTTTTTAAAGTTGGGAGAATTAGGGCTAACACATCTTAATTGCTGTTCAGGGTGCCTGACCCAACTTCATCGAAGCATCACCACGTCTATTACCAGAGCAACAAGCAACACAATCAGAATCCTTCCAACTGGGCTGGTACCTGGATGTTGAGTCTCCCACGATGTGCTCCGAGACCATAGCGCTTCGTCGTGGAGGCATGCAGCTGGAAGTCTGTGATTTTTAAAGTTTCCAGACCAAGAGGCGGGCAACCTGGAAAGGATTGTACTTGTTAAAAACCCAAGGATGAGTGTTGCAAGAAATGAGTTTCCAATGTTCTAAATCCAATCACGTGCTTTTCTGTTTTTCCCCTGTCCTCCCAGTCACCAGTGCAGCCCCACTCACTGGCATGCCCAGTGTTTCCAGACAGATACAGTCGATTCAACTGTCGACATTATGCCTATTTCTTTCCTGCTGTCACTTGTATTTTTACTCCGATCTTCCGTCTCTATTGCTGTCTGTGCTACTCTACTGTTTCAGGCTGTTTCTAATTATGGATCCTTCCACGTCACTCAGTCACAGAGCGTCACTGGTTAGAAACTTCAGAACAATCCCATGGTTGAGCTCTACAAATTAATCAGAGCATGTTGATTTTGCTTCATCAACTCTGGCCTTTGTATTGTGCATACTAATGAACAGAGCTATATAAATAGGAAAAAAAATCCATTTTAACAAGAACAGAAGATAACTGATAACCTTGAGAATGGCTAGGAAACACAGTTTACTCTGAAATAATATGCCAGAGCCTGAGCAGGCCCTCGGTGATTGTCCCAGTTCAGTGCATGGTCCCTACAATAAGATCAACAGTAGCTGGGCTGGGACCAGGTCTTCTGATTCCTGGACTGCTGTTCTTTCCCACTCATCCTCCCATTGGGCTGGAATGTCTCCAAGGATGCTATCTCCTTAGCATCTGACTTTGGAGAAAGAAAACAGTAGAAGTGAACAAAATCTATTTCTACTAGCAATACTAGAAAATCTCTAATGTGACAAAGGCTAATATAAATAGTTATGTGAGTCACTATTGAAGTGCCAGTGTCCCAGAGATCCAGGGGCACAGTGTCTTTCTATCTAGGATAATCCTTTGAGGAAAAGGGTGCCTCTAGTCCCAGGAGATTGGAAGAGCCAGGCAATATGACATTCACCAGGTACTCTGCAGGTACCTGGGTAAGAAAGTCTGCCCAGATGCTTCAGTCAGAGGAAGTCACACCTCTGGGACCTGAAATAGCATTTAGTCCTTCTCTTGAGAGGAAACCAAGACCCCAGGACCTGAGGTAAGTTGTCCATCAGATCCAGCCTTCAGAATCTCAGCTCCAGGCTGGCCAACAATGCCATGCTGCTTCCTCGGTCCTATTGACATCTCAGAGGAGGCTTCCTGGATTGGGAAGTGTTTATTAGCCATCTGTGCTGTGTGTGGGGAGGCAGAGGTGTTGTGCCCAGTCACAGTAAGAAGCACGAAGAGGGAGGAGATGGTGTCGCTGCCACCTGCT